TCTGCTGTGGCCCAGGAGGGCAGTTGGAAGATGGCCCAGGTGTTTGGGCCCCTGCACCCGCATGGGAAACCAAGAGGAAGCACCTGGCTCCTGGCTTTGGATCGGCACAGGTCGCCGGCCATGGTGGCCATTACGGGGGTGAACCAATGGAAGGAAAACCTTTGTCTCTGTCTCTCTCATTGTCTAACTCTGCCTGTCAAATAAAATTAAAAAAAAAAAAACAAAACTACCTATCAGTAACTGTGGAAATTGACTTTTTAAAAACAGTCTATCCATTCAGGATTAAGTCCTATGTCTCCTTTAAGTTTTATTTTAAAGCTCTTAGTTTACTGTGATAATTTTCTTTATATCTATCATGCATATTCTTCGTTTAAATGCATTTCCAAACATTTTACAATTTTATTGCTAATGTGAATGTGATCTCTAGTGTTTTTCCAGCTCTACAGGTAGAACTGCTATTGGTTCTTATAACTATTTGCCCATTAATTTAATGTTTAATGATTTATTCATTTATTTGAAAGGCACAGTTATAGAGAGAGAGAGAGAGGCAGAGGCAGAGAGGTCTTCCATCCACTGGTTCTCTCTCCAAATGGCTGCAATGGTCAGAGCTGGGCCGACCCGAAAGCAGGAGCCAGGAGCTTCTGCTGGGTCTCCCACACAGGTGCAGGGACCCAAGCACTTAGGCCATCTACTACTGCTTTCTCAGGCCATAGCAGAGAGCTGGATTGAAAGTGGAGCAGCCGGGATTGAACTGGCACCCATACAGAATGCTGGCACTGCAGGTGGCAGCTTTACCTGCTACGCCACAGTGCCGGCCCCCTATTAATTTTATTTTAAAATATTTATATCTATTTTAACTTGATGGCAGGTGTTGGTGGTTGGGAAGGGGAGATCTTCTGTCTACTAATAATTCCCCAGATGATTCTATATGGGTGGTAGGGACTCAAGTACTTAGCATCTGTTGCCTCCCAGGGTGAGTATTAGCAGGGACCTGGAACAGGAAGGGGAGCTGGGACTCTGATAAGGGATATGGATGGTATCTTAACTCCTTTGTCTAATACCCAACCCTCCTCATTAATGTTACTCAACTCTTAATACAGTAGTTTGAAAACAAATTTGGCTTTTAGGAAGATATAGCATCATTTATAAATACTGTTATATATTCCTTTTCAAAAGTTAAGCCTCATTCTCTTACTAATATTTATTGTGTGGAACATCTAAATAAGGTCAAATAATGTGTGCTAATAGAGGTTATCCTTATTTTATTGCTGTCGTTATAGGAAGGCTTTCAAGTTTTTAATGGAAGCATTTTTTAAGTGTGTGTTCTCATAATTCTGAAGTACCTATCCTAGATATGACCAAGCCTTTCTTGACAATGGGCATTAGGAGTACTTACCCTATTATTTCCTTATCTCCAAATTAACGAGTTAGCCCAGATTAGTGGTTTTCATAATTACTAAGAGCCGCTGCTGGTCAGGCAAGGGAGGCTGAACGGGTGGGGTGTGCTTTTATCTGAGAAGACTTAGTGCTAAAAAAAAATGAAAACTTTCAGATGAGAATCTAACATGTATACCTGTTAAAGTCTTTCCCACCTCAAAAGTCTATAATAACTCCTATTTATTTTCACCATGACCAGAGCCATAAACAGTATTTCCAAACTTTAAAAAAAAGAGGAAAAGTAAGTTTAAAAAATGGCATAGGCAATTAATTATTCAGGACATGTAAAAAATAAAAGGGAAGACAACTCTTGCAGCAAACACAGTGTCTACAAGGTAATATGGGCTTAGTAAATGTTTGTTAAATGTCTGCAAGGAAACACAAAAATGTACTCATTCCTAGATGGGTAGGATGATTTAGAGGTATGCTATTTCATCTTTAAACTTTCAAATGATTTTTCAGTGACAATATATGATTTTGATATCAGAGAGAAAATATACCAAACTGAAGTTCGTCACAGCTATGAAACCAGCTTTATTGTCTTCCTCTTATAGTTGTATATGGCAATGATTTATTAGCTACCTTTCTTTTTTATTTATGCAGTTTTTTCTGTTTTAACGCTGGGGTCTTTGAGGAAGTCCATTTCTTAAAAAAAAATTCTTTTAATTTGAAAGTCAGAGAGATGCAGACGGAGAAGGACCTTCTATCTTCTGGTTCACTCTCCAGATGTCCCCAACAGCAAAGGCTGGACAGGCTGAAGCCAGGAGCCAGCAATTCAAATCAGGTCTCCCATGAGGGTGTCTGGGACCAAATATTTGAGTCATCAGCTGCTCTTCCCCAAGGAGTACATCACCTGGGTCAGAAGCAAAGGAGCTGGAACTCAAAGCAGGCACTCCAAGATGGGCTGTAGGTATCCCAAGCTACAGTTGAACTGCTCTGTCACAAGCCTCCTCCTATTTTATTTTTGATTGACATATAACTATTTATAGATACAATATGATGTTCTGATATATTTATACATAATATAATGATCAAATTACAGACAGCCCAACTATCAGCTCAAAGAATATACCATTTCTGGGGCCATGGCTCACCTGGCTAATCCTCCACCTGTGGTGCCGGCATCCCGTAGGGGCGCCGGGTTGTAGTCCCAGTTGGTCCTCTTCCAGTCCAGCTCTCTGCTGTGGCCCAAGAGGGCAGTAGAGGATGGCCCAAGTGCTTGGGCCCTGCACCGCATGGGAGACCAGGAAGAAGCACGTGGCTTCTGGCTTTAGATTGGTGTAGCGCAGGCCATAGCAGGCGTTTAGGGAGTGAACCAATGGAAGGAAAACCTTTTTCTCTGTCTCTCTCATTGTCTATAACTCCACCTGTCTAATGAATAAAAATTAAAAGCACCATTTCTTTGTGATGAAAACATTAAATCCTTTCTTCTGTTTTGAAATACACATCATTGTTAAAATATAGTCACCCTATAGCACAGAACACCGGAACTTATTCTTCTTACTTAACTGTAACTCTGTATCCACTGACCAACCTCTCTACACCAACCCTTACCACATACAACACACCACTCCTCCTTATCTTGTGTTCTAGGTTCAACTTACGTGAGATCAACTTTTTAGGTTCCACATATGAGTAAAATTCCAATTTAAATGTCTTTTCTGTGCCTGGTTTATTTCATCTAACATAATTTCCTCTAGTTTCACCCATGTTATTAGAAATGACTGGATTTCAACATTTTTAAAAGGCTAAATTTTTGAAGAGTTGGGTCAATCCCATGTCTTGACTATTTTGAGCAGTAATGCAATAACCTGGGAGTATAAATGTCTCTTTAACAGTCTGATGTCATTTCCTTTGGATACAAATTTGGTATTGGGGTTGCTGGATCACAGGGTATTAGCTACCCTTCTTAATCTAGACTCCCCATTCTTATCTTGTCTGTAAACAGCAAATGAATCTTTTCTTAAATGCTCATATTTCTTCTATAAATCTCTATATGTTTTTACTTAGGCACTTTGGGTACTGTGTCATCTCTAATATAAATTCTTAATTTCTTGGTTCTTACAACATATATCCAATCTTGCTTCCTATTAATTTCCAAGGTAGCTTGCAATTCCAGAAACATCAACAGGACCATCCATTCTTCTGGTCTTGACTGTTAGAATTCAGTGGAATGCTTTGCTTTTTGTCTATTTAAATACAGCTCATATTTAGCTTCTTCTCTGAGATCTCTTTAGAAGATTCTAGCTCTAAAGGATCCTTTCACTGTTGTTCCTATGGTTCCCAACTCTATGCCATGCAATTTAATGTCTGGTCACGTGATGGCTCAGAGTACTTCAAAACAAGGAACTTATAATCTTCTATCACCAACAACAAAGCCTGTGAACTCCTTGATGTCAAGAACTCCAAATTTTGTCATCTTCACTCTTTTCCCAGAACTAGCTTAATAGTAAAGACCCTCGAGGAATTCGTCAAATATTTGCTCATTAAAAGGAAAACACTCGAAAGCCAAATGTCACAGCCGTTGCTGCAGGTAGGTAGCGATCAAGCCTTCCAATTTAGTTTTTCTAACTTTTCACAGCAAATTCCAGATTATCCTATATATTTCCATTTAAAAATAAATATTGTTAACACCATTGGGCAAGTAAGACATATGGCAATATAGAATGCTTTGGTAGCACTATGGCTGTGACTTAAATTACTGTGGATCAAACTGCCAGAAGCTGAGAAGATAACTGAATTTTCTTCTCCCTTTATCCTCTAAGGAAGACAGAAGATAACTATATCGTGCCTATCGATGAAAATATTTAACAATAAAAAACTGAAAACACTGCTTTATAACTTAAATAATATAGTCTTACTACCAAATGTTTTAGTCATAGGATCTCTTGGAAGCTTGAATGGAAGCAAACTTTAGGGCTTTAATTATGGATGAAGCCATACAATTCTGGAAGCAAAGTACAGCAAGCAGCCAAAAATGTTCCACATATGATTTTACTCCAAATGGGCACATTGGCCAAATGGTGAGGCCCTGCGCACTCACACACTTTGACCACCTCCTCCATAACCACCAAGAGAGTTCTGGGAAATCTGTAATCAGAGATACGATATAATTCTGTGTGTTGACTGTGGCCTCAATAGGGCAAAACCAATCTATTCTTATTTTTGTGATGTTCAGTAGTTTGTGGTTGGATCCAAATATGCTACAGGGACTTAATGGTCTTTCAGAATGTCCCTTCAAATAAAGAAGATGGAAGACGAAAAGGTACATCTTTACTTCTTCTTGCACAAAGGTGATCTTAGTATTTCTTCAGTAGTTACCGGATTTCTGGTTGACAGTAAACATTTAACATAAGCACACATTAAATTTAATTTTTTTTTCATTAAAAAAATGAGACACCACATGCTACTCATTGAGCTAACATGGGTTGTGAAAAATGACACGGCTTCCTTCTACTTATTACTCAGATCAAAGAAATTATGTAAATCAAACCTAAGAGATTCAGCTCAAACACTTTTGGGAAGGTGGAAAAAGTGTTTAGACTCAAGTAATGGAAACTTACCTTTAAAAGACTACGATTTCTTTTGAAAGCAGTCTCAGCGGCTTGCACCTGAGGTGCCTTTTCTGTGTTTTGACCACCAAACTTTCTCGCCATTTTTTGAAGCAACATTAGTCTTTGTGATACTCTAGGGTTAAAAAAATGAAGAGTATATAGTTTAAAACTTAAATGCAAGTATTTTATTGCCTCATTAATCAAAAAATGCATCTTTAATTGCACCTCGTGCTAACTCTGACCTATATTGAAAGTCCATTACTATGTCCACTAATAAGCCAGAGAAAAATTTTGGCAGTTCAGTAAGTCTTCAGTGAATCTGGGTAAAATTATTTTTATTTTCATTAACATATCCTTTATATATGCCATAAGTACAGGCTTCTGTTTTTTAGCCTCTCTGGTCTTTTGAAATTATTTTAGAGTGTTGAAGATATGTTTTAATTTTTGGTGAAAATGCAAACTGTAATACATATCCCCTTGTACACATGGTTATATATACCTCCCCACACACATACATTGATAGAACTTGCTATATGAAACCTTCTGCTTAACACTTCAGTACCCCTGAATCTCATGTTACACATTTAGAATTGTGCTAAACTTCCATATGTTTGAAGAAGCAATAAAAATATTTTTTCCCTCTTTTTCCAAGAGAAAGATGATGGTTTGATATATGACTGAGAGGCAATGTATATGTATGCATACTTGTAAGGTAAAACAGTAATCAAAGAAAGATGTGAAAGTTATAAGTAAATTCTTTAACTATTTTGTTATATATAATATACTTTAGAAGTGTTTTTGCTGGTCAAATGTTAACTTCACAAGTATCTGATCCTCTTAAATGATTAATATGAAAATGTGAAATGATAAAAAGCACATAAGAGGTATATATAGCAACCAGTTTCCCAAATATATGCAAAGGTTCTCAAGAAATACCATGTTTCAGAGGGCTTTCTTAAAGGTCAAACTTAACACTGGCTTTTTCAGTAGTCTTTTTTTGTAGGAAAACTGTTTAGAAGGCTAACGGAGGGAGCCATACAGAGAAAAGGAAAATCTGAGCGCTCAGAGAGGGTTAATAATAATTTGAAGGACAGGACTGGCTATGCACTCTGTAGAACCTAATAATGTCAGACACTGATTGTAGAGCATTAACCCAACCATAAGGCCCATGACTCGAAGGTCACATGTGCATTATACCAGCCCTGAGTAAGGGGCTTAAAGAAGTCCATCAGATAACAAGGTGGAGCCTTGAAGGGGTGAGAGGAAGGGTGAATTTATCTGGATATTAGGAAGAAAATCTAAAAAGATATGACATAATTACACTTTTAATTTTGGTTGTTCTTAAGATACAGGGAAGTTCACTGACATCAGTCTCTTAAGTAGTCAGATAATTAAAATGACACACTTCTAAATTTTTATGTCTTCCTCTGCGTACAATGTTTCACTAATAAAGCCTAGCAATGCCTTTATTTGGGTTAACCTTTTTAAAAAAAACTTACATTTCTTCATGTCTTTTAGAAAGGCGAATTTCTTGAGTGAATAAAGAAGTCATCTTTAATCAGAGCTGTGTACTAAGCTTTCTCCTAAATAATAAAAACAAAGTTACTTCCACCACATGTCCTCAGCTGTGCAACATTTTATCATTTTAATACCTCAAGGCATTGGTTTTTCTCAGTGGAGAAAATAAAAACTTACATGTAGTGTGTAAAATAAAAGAATGCATTTAACTATCTTCTTATTCAGCATGTATACTTTTTCCTATGCCATATGTATACAGGAACACCAGGAGTTAGGCAAACAGCATATTTCACATCCCCCCACCCCACCCCTTTCTCAGACTCTAACCTTAATCAGAATAAAAACCAAACAAGCAGCTGGTACTAAGACTGGTAAACATTTTATTGTATCAACAGATAGGAAAGGAAAAAATCCACTCTGCAAAGTTCAGCACCATCCCATTTGCACGTGCACAGCCACACAGAACAGCAAACAAGTTTGAGAACCAACTGGGGACTCACGGTCTTTCACTTCCTGGAAGACTGCCCAGTTTTACCATCCCTCTTCCAAACAGAAGAATATTTTTCATGTGTGACTGTGAGAAAAAGCACAACAAACTACCTTCATCCTACCCTGGCCACTCAGGATTGCCATTTGGGGGAATTTAGGGGAACCTCTTTGCATGGCACCCTTGACATCATGAGCCAGCTCACTTTGGCTAAAGAGCCTGGGCCCATACACGCAGAAGTGTACTGAAATGCTTCGAAGGTCTCAAGACAGACGGTATATCCTCCGGTTGGGTGCAAAAGCTGCAGAAGGGTCCTGTCCTAAGCGAGAAACGGGAATGAAAACTTTCCTGCAATGAGGCTTTCCTAGATTTGATGACATCAAACTTTGTCTAGGGACCGCCCGAGTGTCCTGCGCCGACGGAAAACCCGAGCAGTTCTGTCGGCACCCGCTCAGAGCGTGAAGGGAGCTGAGCCCGGAGAGAAAGCGCAACCCTGTCCTGCCCTCATCCGGGTTCCTCTTCAGCACCGCGGACAGCAATCACACAGCGGCTCGCCCGCGCGGGTCTAATTACAGACCCTTCCCCGCCATCCTCTCACTTTCGTTTCGCAACGCGGCCGCTTACCGCAGCGGGAAGGAAATCCCAGAAAGGCAGCCCATGCTCCCTTCTCTGCCATCCCCGCCGCCAGTGCTCCAGACAAAACCCGCGCCAAATTCTGCCTTAAGGACCGAAGATCGGCGCCGTGTCACTCCCCAGCCCACCGACTGCCCACCTCCCGCTAACACCCGCAGGATTTATGAACTTCGCTCATCACCCCAGTTCTTCCCTATCACAACAGCTGCCCCCCGCCACCAGCCTCGCGGGCACCTGCGCCACCGTCGGACAGTCCTGGCACCCGCCGCGGTGGCACTTCACTCACCAAGCCCGCGTCGGGGCTCTTCCGGTAAGGCACTGGCTACTGCGCCGGCGCTGGGGCGACCGCGCAGGCCTGGGCGTGGTCACGCCGGTTTCTCCCGTGCGCGGGGCGCGTGATGACGTCACGGCATCTTTATAAACGGCGAGCGCCTGGCGCGAAAGCGTAGTCGAGTGTCGCAGCTCGAAGGAGTGGGACGGCAAGTTGTGTGCGAATTTTGAGGAGTGTGGTCTAAAAGGGTCTTTACGAACCCCGTGGAAAATATGTTTGGTAGGTTGCTCGGTTTCCACGCCGTGTAAGTGGGACGTGACTATATTGAAAGGGAGAGTGAAGCTGGCTTCTTAGAAGCTGGCGTGTCTCAGTAGAGTGTGGAAGCAGGGGCCAACTCTGCAAAGTAGTCCAGAGTGTTTGAACCGGCCTCACAGCGCGTTTGCTCAGAAGTGCGTATGGAGTAGTTCGCAAGTGCTGCTGCTTTGGGAGCCGCGAGCTGAGCGGTTCCTCCCCAGGAACCAGTAATCACGCCCCCTCTGCAGGTGCCCTGTGTGCGCCTGTGATCTCCTTGAAACTCACAGCAGGAGATAGGTATTTTATCCTCCTCGGAGAGCCAAGGAGCCGAGGTCGATTGTCAAGTTTGGTGTTTGCTGCAGTCCTCAGGGTACACGCTTGGGAACTAGTGTTTGAAAAGGCGTTCGGAAACACTCCTTGTTATTCCTTGACCTCGCTGTGTGACACTAGTTCTTTGATTTTACAGAGGAGGGAACTTGGGTTCGAGAGGGGTTATTTTCTTCCTAAAGGTTTTCCAGTTGGTAAAGGGCAAAGAGCTAGGGCTCCAGTCCAGGTGTTTTTGATTTTCCCTGCCCAGAATGTGTGCATAAAGCTTAGGTGCTCCTTAGAGACCCTAGCGCCTCGTGGTTCCTCTACGTGGAAAGCCCTGTTAAGTGTACATGTTAGGTTTAGCCCGTCATATCTTTGCTGTTCTCTTTTCTCCACAACACAGTAACCTTTCATACTCGAGGTATCTTTTGTCCTTTAGTTTCTCAGTGCACCCGCCAGGAGAATGTGAACTTCCTATGAACTGATGTCTTTGTGTCTTTAAAAATTTTTTTTTATTGAGGAGCCAGTGTCGTGGTGCAGTGGGTTAAGCAGCTGCTTGGAGTGCTGGCATACCATATTGGATTGCTGGTTTGAGTTCTAGCTACTCGGCTTCCAATCCAGTGTCATGTTGATGTGCCCAGGAAGGGAGCAGAAAATGGTCATTGAACCTGGGCCCTTGCCACCCGTGTGGGAGACAAAGATGGAGATCCTGGGTCCTAGCTTCAGCACGGTCCAGCCCTGGCTGTTGCTGGAATTTGGGGAGTGAACCAGCAGATGCAAGGTATCTCTGTTTGCCTCTCCCTCTCTGTCACCCTGCCTTTCGAATAAATCATATTAATTAATTATAATGAGGAAAGGAAGATCTTCTGTCTACTGGTTCACTCCCCAAATGTCAGCAACAGCTGGAGCTGAGCTGTGCTGAAGCCAGGAGTCAGGAACTTGATCCAGGTTTCCCATATGAGGGGTAGGAAGCTGGAATTGGGAACAAAACTGGGACACAAACCCTGGCATTCACTCCTGTGTGGCATGTATGCTTTGCAGGTGGTGTCTTAACAACTGAATCCAAAGCCTGACCCCATTTTTTTCTCTGATTTGCTGACGTGCCCCTTAGTGACTAGGATTGTCTGACATACAGGTGCTCAGTAAATATCTGCATAAATGGATGAAATAATGCCCTCAATGAAATTTCATCATTATTTCAGTGAGCCCTGTCTTCAACTGATAGGAGCTGTTTCATTGGCACACTATTGCATACACTCACTGCTCAGTACATATGACCCTTGAATGGACTTGCGTTCTAGAATGCAGTAGAGCTTTAGCATGTTTATGGGGCATTTTTGTTGACTTTTCAAAATTGGCGAGGGGTTGCATGAAATGGAGCCTGAGAGCCTGCACCTTAAAGCATTTATATGTTGTTTAAGGTAAACTTTGCTTACATCCTTGTTTTGTGTGAGTTTCCATGGTCACGCAGTTGGACAAACCCAGCTCTTTCAACTTTGAGCCTGGCCTTTTCAGGTCGTTGTCTGCCTTAGCTGGAAATGAAGGAATATTTTGGAAATTATGTTGTGATTTTTGGAAGAAGAGTAACCAGGAATGTACCATGATTAAAAGTTAACTGGATAGGCTGTGATAAGTTATTTTATGACATCCTATAGTAGTGCTTGCTCTTTAATTATCTTAAGAGATATGCTGCGATAGCTCTTCTTTTCATGAAATATCTCATAGATGATGTATTCTGTGAGGCACCTGGTGGGTGAGAGGATCTGGCAGTTACCTATTAGTATGTGGTGTCTACATTTATTGGGTAAGTTTGGGTACTTTCTAGAGTGAGTCACTCATGGCCTACCATGCAGATAATTGGAACTTATTAAGTAACACCTGACCCACAATGGCATACTCTGTGAATGTTTGATGGAGTCAGTGTTTTCTAACCCCTGGTTGCTTCTTGTACCAGCATACTGTCATTATTCCTTAAACCTGACGATCTTCTGTAATATGTCCTTTATTCTCATAATTTAGAAAGTATTGTGCCAGTCATAGATTATATAAAGAGGTGTTTATTACACATACGTAGAATACAGTCTTCCCTTATGAGCTTAGAGTCTTCCCTTTTAAAGGATTACTTATTTATTTGAAAGGCAGAATGATGGAGAGAAAGGGAGAGAGGGGTTTTGCATTCATTGGTTTATTCTCCAGATGCCTGCAAAAACTGGAGGTGGGCCAGGCCAAAGGCAGGATCCTTATCTGGTTCTCCCATTTGGGTGGCAGGAACCCAGGTACTTGGGCCGTCGTGCACTGCCTTGCAGGAGCAGTAAGTAGGAAGCTGGATGGGAAGCTTGCAGTAGCTGGGGCTCAGATGCAGCACTCTGATGCAGATGCTGGCCTCTCTGCCACAATGCCGAAACCTGGGTGAGCTATTAAGGTATATTCAGTAAGGTAGAGAATGATGGTTGACAACATAAAGAGGGTTAATATGGGTGTGTGCTCAGTCTGTTGCAGGTGCTTTGCTTGAATTATTTAATTAGCATAACCATATGAGCAAAGATGAGTCTTAGAGAAAAGACGTGCTTCAGATCACACTGTTTGTGAGGGAACTCCTGCATGTTTGAAGTTATTGCACTGTTGTGTATTCAGATAATGTCTAATTAAGAAGAGTCATGCAAATTACAAGGATTTTATGTAGGGAAGGAGAGAGCCCTGTAAGCTGGAATAGTCTAGATTTTGGAAGACTGAGGTGCACTTTGGCAAGTGGGTGGGATTTGGAATTCTCTGTTAGTGATTGGATTGGTCAGGCGTCAGGAGAGTGTGATGTGCCATGTTCTAGGTGAAGGCACAGAAATGTGTGCATGAGAGGGAAGATCGAAAAGTGTTTTCTCCTAATTGTCCATGATTTTAAAAACTTCAGGTCTGTTCCCGGGAGAACTTGGAAGCAGAGATTTTGACAGTAGAAGGAATTATTGGAGAAGCTGAGACTGGTGTAGAGAGGAGAAAGGAGGACAGAAAAGGAGGGTTCATGTACAAAAAAGGGCAAGCTTCGAGGGTATGAAACAATGGAAAGAATTGCACAACACTCGACTCTTTGAAGGTCTCCAAGTTCCTAACCATAAAATCTGTTAGAGTTTGTTCAGCCATCTTTTTAGACTCACTTTGGAGTGTACTCTGAGCAGGAACATACTAACAGCAAAGAACTTGTGACTACAATGGCTTTGAGTTTTGTTCCTGTTTCAGGAATTTCTCAAAATGAGTCCAGTTTCTTCACTTTGAAACAAAAGCCTGAGGATTTTACTTGCTTCATATTTGGTGTCTGTCCGTTTTACTCTCGAGAAACTGTTCTGCACTCAGAATAAATCTCAAGTACTTTAGATTGGCCCTTGCTGGATTTTGACCAGAGCAAATTTTTAACCAGATACCTTTTTAGGAGCTTTTGTTAGCAAAGCAGGTATCAATCAAGATCCATTCAGATAAAACACTACAGAAATGGAAATTATGCTCATAGCTGGTGCCTTGGTTAGCTGAGGGAACAAGGTCTTGCTGATAAAATGATGCTCAGCCATACAGAGTTCCAATGAGAATTTGCATATGCCTTTTTCTTCTTTGGGAGAGCAAATTAAAAACCTTGCTGGTTCTAAAATTCACTTGAGAAAGCGTTAGAATTTTTACATTGAAAGTATGCATAATAATTTTTAGGAAATCATTTGTATATTGTACGTGTGGTAAAAATGTGGATTTGCACCCTGCAAATTGCAGTGATTTAAAGCTCACACAATCCTTTTTAGTACAGCAACACCTTTCCAGCTGTGTGTAATTCAAAAAAGGTTGGTTGGTTTTGCAGTCTTGTCTCCTTGGTTTCCCAGTGGCTCTCAATATATCCTTGCTAGTCTCTGACTGTTGAATCTGGACCTTTTTTTTTTTTTGGTGGTAGGCATTTTTTTCATTTATGGTCTTCCTGCCTATGTATTTTCTCATTTTTTTTCCTTTTGCTTTTATATTCCTGTGCCATCTTTATCATTTGTCCACTACTGAGTAAGCAATTAAGAATCTCCTTAAACATATACTTGGCTACTTGGTCCACATTGTATTCTGCCATTCCCATCTTTTTGTAATGCTCTTTGTTTTTGTTTACTGAAAACATTCAAGACTCCTTGTGCCAGCCAGTTTTTCATCACTGTTGTTTGCTATATGCCTGCACTTGAAAACACTAGTTGCAGTTTCACTGGGCTTTGCTTCTTTGTTTCAGGACCTAATGATGTGTAAAAATATTGTCAAAAAACTGTTGTAGTTGCATGCATTTGGAATAGTTAATTACACAAAAGAGGAGACCCGTAGCCTTCATTT